AATAGATAGATAGATTGGATCAGGGATCGATCGTTGAGTTGGTTCAGGGTAACGTTGTTGAATTGGGTCAGGGATCGGTATCGTCCCAACATAGATTAGAGATTGATGGATTAGTTCTATNAGAGATCAGCTAAGTAGCTTAGATCTCCAACAGTTTGGGGTCAGAGTTTTGAGGTACGTGACCCCTTGCACCCTTGTTGGCTGAACTACTCAGGAACGCAACCCTGACATTCATGATACAGGATATCGAAGCCAAAATCAAGAAGGACAATCCTGAGTTTTCCATTTACCTACCTGAAGAACCGGCTAGACCAGAGTCCTCAGTTGACCCTGCATTGACTGCAAAGAGAACGCTCGAAACTCGTCAGGTACGTCATATACCCACTGACGCCGCAGTGCTGCTCTGAATCGAACATGGGATACTAAAAACATCCAGAGGGACGTTAATTGCGATCCGAGATATGGATTTGGATATATCGGCGATGTGATAACGGCTAGAGATAATCTGAGGCGTATCGCGGGTAATAGCTGCAAAGCTAGAGCTCGAACATGTATTCGTACACAATGTATCAACGATGCAGCCATCGGTATTTGCAACGACAATTATCATGACATTGATATTCAATGTACTCAAATCTCCGACTGGACTCTTGTCATCGTACAGAGTTGCCAAGAGTCGGTTTGGCATTGCCCTTGGACGCCGGGAGATCAATGCGTCATCCTTAGTACCACTGTCAGAGGACAGGTCTTCTCTCCTGGCAAGACCTGGAATGTCATTGTTGGAAGCTGTGGTATGATAACCATTCTTGAAAGCCCCTCTCGAGGTAGAACTGTTAGACTGACGAGAAATAGGTTTCTTTGGCAATCCAGAAAGACCAGTCAAGATGTAGCTTGATAATGCGGCGAGGTAGATCTAGTTACGCGTATCTAGATACAATGCATAGATTCAAGCTATATCCTCTTAGTGTAAGCACTAATCTAAGTATATATAGTTTTCGAGAACCTACAGTTTACATATATCTACTTCCTCACTAGAAGCGCCTACTATAGCACACTAAGTCATGCCTGGTCAAAGTCTAAGAGACTGGAGGCGGTTGGAAGTTAAGGACGCTCTTTGTATTGCATGGCTGTACAGGTGTACTGCAGGCCGCGCGACGCCTGGCTACAGTTCCTATAACAGGTTGGCATATAACCGCATTGCACGCATCTCTCCCCTCATCGCACCATCTGAACGTTCCGCGCTCCTATCTTTGGGCCTGGGTGTCTGAAGTATAAAACTCAGTTTTGACCGTGTTAGCCTATTATTCTTGAAGTAGAAGCCCAAATTCTAGAGTGATTATCGGTCAAGAATGCATAGCTTGATTAAGATGGGCGGCTGCAAATCGGATGCAGTCTTCGGTTAATTGTTGGTATGCCTACTTCTCATCGGCCCAAAAGGTCTCGCCACATCGGTCTTAGGTGCGCAGGAAGTTGCAGAACGACAGACGATGGAGGCAAAGCGCTTGGCTGTAATATTGTTGAATAGGCCGATCTTCTGGAGATTGGTAAGGTGAAACCTTGCGCATTTCAAAGTAATCGCAGTGTTAGCGGGGCGTTTGATAGTGGGCTTACCGTTGCAAGAAGACACTAGACGGGTTAGGCAATGATCAGTCTGTTTCTTAGGTTAGTGGACGAACTTGGACTCATGCAACCGACGATACCCACAAATTAATATAACCGGTAGGCGGTTCAGCGATGCTTTTGGGTATGGTTGCTCTGTTGGGAGGGGCGTCTATTTCTGGTGTCATCGGTTATATGGAAGGATAATTGTAGAGTGCAATGTTGAATTACACTATATCAACTGATTGAACACGCACATCAAACTTGCAAGTAAGCTACAGGGAATTTATATCGTTACTTGAACCCATCATGACTAGACCAAAGATCCTCATCGTAGGCTGCGGCGCCGTCGGACTGTCACAAAGATACTACCTTTCCGCAAGTGCCGAAATAACCTACCTCGTCCGCCCAGGTCGTTCGGAAGCTTTCGTAGCACCTAAACGCCTTTACGATTACAAGAGCGACAAATTACATGTTCTTGAGGATTACCGTGTTATCGAAACTACTTCGGAAGTCGCAGGAGAGGAATTCTACTGCGTGTTTGACACGCTAGACGGCCACACTGCGCAGTCTGAAGGCGGAACTGCAACGATAAAGAGCGTAGGCGATCTGACTCGCGATAACCCGAGAACCTTCGTGTTTTACGATGCCGCTGGCGTCGACATCGAGCAGCACTACGCCAGCACCATGAGCATATCGAGATCGCGACTCATCTATAGTATGGGTATGACTGCACACTAGCCTACGCCCATTATCTCGATTCTGCTATCTGCAACTCCAGAGCTTGTTGTACAAGCGAACGTGCTATATTCCGCCTATCATCCAAATATACGACTAGTAATTATCAACACGAAGGTTCAAATCACCGAGCTGTTGGAGGCGGTATACCATCAGAACGGCAGGGTGAAGATCCAAAGGTTGCCTGGTATTTTAAGCGAGCTTCCCAGTCTCATCTTGGTGCAATTCATGGTGTGGAATACCGAGGACTGGGTCCTGTATCCACGCTCTCGGGAGGCTCACGAATCATGGGCGCTCATAATTCGGGCGCAGCAAGAGGTCCTGTCGTTGCCGCGGTGGGGATGGATTGGCTGGGTACTATCCTGGTTAATGAGGTCAACATGAGTGACGGCGAAAATGATAGAGGCGCCATTCAAGGGCGGAACACCCCTACCTTACCATGAATTCAATGCCTTTCATCACGGGAGCAAAGTGGTCGAGCAGGATATTGAACTTTTAGAGGGGCTTGTTGCGGAAGGAGAGAGGGCGAAAATGAAGATGCCTGCGTTGAACGAGATTTGTCGGCGGGCACGGAAGAAGCTGGAAAGTTAATGGGTCTCGGCCACATGTCCAAGCCAAGCGTCGACAGCACGCACCTATGAATCTTATCTATGAGCTACGCGAGCAAGCAATGTCAAGATTGGGCTCCTCGAGTGTTTACTCTAGAAGCTCATTTCTCCAGTAGAATAACAGCGCTTCACTATCTATGTTGTGCCTTGATGGCTGGATCGGCGTATGTTGGAAATAAGAAACCGAGTAAATGATGAATGTACATGCATGATATTTGAGATATGGTCCGTGGGATACAGTTGTCATATCTGGATTTTACAAAGTTGCAAAAGGCTCTCTTCTCGTGATGTGCTTTTCTTCTCAGCCGCTCTAGGATTATGGATACTCCTTGTCCTGCTTCGCTGCTTATAACGTGACATCTCAAATTAACCAAACATGCATTAGACAGGCTGCTTTATTTCTATACATCTCCACTAATGCAGCCAGCATGGTTCTTCTTGTTCAGTGTAGGTACACTGTCCCTTTGACTTGTACCGTTCTTTCTCCTGCTTCGCTTGTCCAGCGGCGAATGGCATACAGTCCGGCTTGTGGGTCTGTGTAGTGCGATTTCAGAGGGCGTAAAGACAGAGGGCGCTGCACAACGTAGTCGAGGTGGTTGGCTTTGCGTGGCAGTAGGTATGAGGTCTTCTTCCGATTGCATGTGTTGTGAAGGGTACTGTATGATCAGTGTTGATGTCGAGAAATTAGTGTCTTTGGGCGAGAAAGCGATGTTGCAGGTCCATTTTCGAATTTTTCCCCCAAGGCCCATTTTCACTGGTTCTGTCCACACGGGAAAGTGGACGGATCGTTCCAGGTTGAAGGTGTACTGGCGGGAGGGTGGATGCGGAGAAAGCGAGTGGAGGTGTTGCGAGGGCCGGGGAGAGCCGACACAAGTACAAGAAAGCGACGAAGCATGGAATAGGCCCATACGCTGACGGAGACAAGAGAAGAAGGAACTGACTATCTACCTACAAAGAAGGAAGTTCCCTAGATACGTCTCTTCGGGGTAATCATGGGTTTGTATGGATTTTCCCTTCTTCACAGGGACAACAAACATGCTTCTAAATCACTTCCACATTTCTGAATCACACACCAAGCCCCTTACATAGCGGCACATGGGCTTATTGATTGAAAGATGCAAGGCTGCGCCGCAATCCACAATCTAGGTTTCTGGGAAGCTTGGCGTTGGAAAAAGAACAAAACAGATAGTAAATAGCTGAATTTGACATGGGACGATACCCACAGTAGTACCTACGTATCCCTGGTATGTTGGGTCCTGCACATTCATAGCGGTGTAAGTGTAAACATAACTAGACGAGTAAAAAACGCGAAACGCGAACAGATGTCACGGAACCAGATTATACTTACTACCACTATACCAATCAAACCCACCCGTTCGCAGCTGGATGGTCAAAGCAAAATTGAGCGCACGTGCCGGAACTAAGTAAGTAGTGGTAAGTAGTAGTAACACAATGCCTGTCGTATTTATGCATTCACTTGCACAAGCTTTCCCCTCGTGTGGGATCGTCTTTTGTGCTCAAAACGCGCTACATTAGTGACGCTGCAGATACAAGCCGCCGCGATACGAGTGGCACAGCGGTGGTTTGCTTTTCTGGCATAGTAAGTGGCAGTACTCAGGAAGCGGAGTCTTTGCTTTTCGATACCCGAGTGCGGGTGTTTCTGAGGGGCGTCCGAAAACAAAGAGGGCGAGATTACGTTGTATTCTAGAAGTGGAGAGAACCGCGTGCGACTATTGAATTTCCACTTTGTGATTTGTGTGCTGTTTGGAGAAGGATTGGGTAGACGACGTCTTTCGACGAGATCAATTGTGATGTTGCGCTTAACTATACATTCAAGCGTACGAAAGAGGCAACGTGATGAGAGATATTATTGGGTAGGGCTCAAGGTGCGACTGTTGAATTCTAGACTTGATCGCCATTTCCGTCCGATAAGGGTGATAGACCTAGTACATGTACTTACAATACATGGGTATTCTAGGACAAGACTGTATGCGTGTGTATGAATAGTAACATCCAACACGTCTGAACACATCGAGTGACATGTTCACTCGCCCTCTTGCACTTCAGCTAGTGTGTGCAAAACTTCAATCGCAGATGAATACGCTACCGTACATAGATTCTCCCCACGGAAACCCAGCGTACTCCTTCAGCTGATCAACCGCATCGTCACCTCGACCGTTGCAAATGTCCCTGCAGAAACCGGCATAGCACGGAGCAGAGTTGGTCCAATGCCCCTCCAGAAGCCGCCCAGGCCCTCGCCCCTGTACGTCTTCACAAAACAGTCTCTCATGCTCTTGTACTTTTGTTCCGCTCCAAACCCATCACTCTGCATCTTGCTCTTGATAACGTCAAATGGATAACTGCTGATCCAGAGTACTTCACCCGCTAGTCCGCCGTACGCCGCCACCTTTAGTGTTGAAATCTCCGACCGGTCAATGTTGTTGCGTGCAGCGTCAGAATTCATAAGATATTCGAATGCAGTAAACCAGCACCCATACGCCTGAGCTTCACGCATAAAGGTCACAGCAGTACCGCGGTAGACGCCCCCAAGCACGCCCTGATGTGCCGAGAGCTTGCGTACGCAGTCGATGGGCCCGGTATAGAGCCGATTCGCGCCGTGCGGCTGGGTTTGCAGTCTTATACGAATGTGCTCGATCGGACTCGAGAGAGCCGTGTTGGCGATACCTGCAAAAGCGCCAGCGGCGTAGTACTGCGAGTAAGACAGTTGGGCGGTGCCCGACTTGGCTGTATTGCTGGCCTCGAAAGCGCGGCGCGCATAGTGGAAGCCTCCGAATTGGATAGACACACAGGCTCCGATACCAATCAGGGGCGTTAATGTTCCTTTGTAGAAGGCAAGTGCTCCTTCATTTTGATATATCTTGGTCGCTGCATCCAAGGCGCCTGAGTATTGGGATGTCGTCTGCAGACGGACTTTCACAATATCGAATGGTTGCCCAATGAGGACTTGAGCAACTCCGCCTACAGCACCAGCAAAAAGGTCCTTGAGTGTGCGGGACAAGCCATCCTGGGCGGGGTCCTCGTGCTCAATATGAGGTTTTGACATTTTCCTTTCTGTTCTTACAGTCGCGACTCTTATTATTGTGCGCACGAGCCCTGTGGAGGGGCAGCTGTGAACCGACCAGCCTGCAGGCGTCTCTTTCTTGCTCTTCACCTGGATACGAGATCAGAACGCCTCCCGTGGTCGTGTAGTTTGTTAGATGATTTTGGGAACAGTGATGGTGTTCGAAGGTCTTGAGAAGACCCAAACCCCAATTGCGTGCTTGTGCACGGACGCACGAATAATGTCCTTCGATAGCCGATGGTTAGCTGCATCTGATGCCTCGAACCGGTCATCTTTCGCATGGCATTAAGCTACCATGCTGATCTCGCTTCACAAGTGAGCATGGGCAGTCATCAGATCAGAACAAAAGAATCAGATTGCCAACTGGTATCAGTATATCCCATGGACCCCTATCACCCCGCTAACCAACAGATCCATGCAATGCGTATGTCAATGCGACTCCGGGCCAACGATAAGAGAAACCAATGGCAGCAGACATGACGAAACGCAGGAAAAACAGGGACGCGCACATCAACCAAAAGCTTGTCAATGCTGCAAAAAGATGATGGTCCTTCAAGGGGTGACTACCACCAACGCAGCTATAATACAAAAGACGGAAAGAGACAAAGGGAAAACCAGACAAATGGCCGTTGAGCGAACGTCGTGAATGTAGTTCCAGGTGAAGCATACGCACGAAGACTTGCGTACCGTGTTTCCCTGGCAGGATAGTCCATAATCTTACACCATCACTTACCCCTCTAAAGCAGGGTGGTCTCGCTAAGGGAAACGCAAACACGCAGTATATGTGGTAGGTGAAATTGGAGAAAGCAGCTACCAGCATTTCAGTTTGCTCCAGAAGCTTTGTCTTGGCTCGTCGGAATCGTGCTTTTCGCTGTAGGTATGTGCTCCGGAAAGATTTGCATTTGACATGGGTAGGGCGGCAGTACGGTTTGCGGCGTTCTCGTTTGCAGTAAGTCTGCGAGCTTCTACAACACGGCGGACAAGGACTGTTGAAGGGGTACATGTTAGCGAATTGGTCTCTGGTTGATTCTCTCTCTCCCTCTCCCCCTCGTCCTAGGACAAATGAAGCGGGAAAAAACTTACGAGCAAATGTCTCCTCAATGTTGACCATCTCTCTTGCACTCGTCTCCATGAAGCCGCATTTTCGATTTCGCGCCCACTCCAACCCCTTCTTTGCTTCAATCACCCGTTGACCCTGCAAATCGCACTTGTTACCCACCACACACTTGATAGGTGGTATCTTGCCATTGTCTAACCGGTTGTCTGTCTCCATATCAATCATCTCCATGAAGTAATCCAGGGCATCGAGCGAGTTCGCAGCGGTGATGTCGTAGACGAGGAGAAAGGCATCGGATTGCAAGTTGGATGCCGCCCAGAGACCGCGGTATTCTTCTTGACCAGCCGTGTCGGTGAGCATCAGGTAGTAGGGGACGCCATCTATGGTACGTGTCACCGAGTATGAGTCTTCTGTAGCGGATGTCAGACCAGTGTTGCTGTGAGATGGCTGCACGGATGCCCGTCGCAGACGCGAGTGATATGTGTTGTACCTATTGTAGGGTCGTATCTAAAGACTGCATGTCAGCTGAATGTTGTCTTGCTCGACTGAAAGCGCGCGTGTAGCGTCGCATTGTTTGCGCAAACTTACTCGGACGTCCATTCACTTCTCACAAGCCGTAATGTGATTGAGCTCTTTCCTGCGCGCACATCAGCCCTGCATCCCTTGATGTCTCCTTGATTGTTGCGCCTACCGCATCCTCCATCGCCGCACACGGTAATCGTTATCCTGTTGTTCTCGTCCATGGTGTCCACCTCTTGCGCAGTTTCGATGCCAGTACTCTGCGCTTTTCTTTGGCGGGTTGCAGAATGTGTGATGGTTGTCGCAATCGCGTTTCGCCTCTGTCAGCCCCGAGTTCTGGCTTGCTTGCGCGTCGCCCCAAAAGACGCCCTTGCTTCTTCCTCCCTGTCACAGCGCAAACCAAAAAGCAACCCCAATAGACTACCGTCCAATAATCGAGTCCAGGTATATCGCAGATGATTCGCGGAATGGGCACGTGCAGGTCAGGAAACACGGAAGAAGGAAAGAAAAAAAAAGGTACGAATGTTTCTTCAAAGGTCAAGTCTTGTTATCGCAGTAGTAAGCAAACCAAGCGTGTTCAAATGACAGAGTGCGCAGGGAATCCCCAAAAATAAGAAAGAAAAAATGGCAGGTTACCGTCGCACCAGCAGGATGGAGCTAGTATAGTATGGTAAAGGGTAGGACAAGAGTAAGAGCGAGAGTGAGACACGGATAGAAAGGAGCTCAAGGTGGCGGACAGTGCGCAAACTTTGTGTCCTCCAAGTACAAGTCGAGAAAAAAAAAGTTGGAATAAAAAGAGGGAAAGCAAGAGAGCGAGAAGAGAGCGTCTAATAATACCTAGTCCATAAGCATCACTCCGGTCGGGCATTAACCGCAACGAAATGAGCTGGGTACGAAGATCCCCTCTTTCCAACCGCGCACACACACCCCCATCGTATCTCTCTCTTCCATGCCCATGTCAGAATGAGAAGAAAAACACGAGACTTGGCCGAAAACCGTCGCAAGACCCTGGTCGCGTCCTGGGTGGTTCCAAGAACCAAGAACCAACATGTAAAGTTGGCATCAAGTGAGGCAATGTCTTTACTTTCTCTTGACCATTCCAAGCGGAAAAGCGACTGTTTGCTCACTGTTAGCACGCCCTATTTCTTGTTTTTCGGTCTCGGTCCCTCTGGGTGTTGCTTTCTTACACCTACACCTACTTATACACACGCTTTCTCACGCGCATCCTACCCTCAGCACCGTCCCCCTCCCTCCCTAACCCCCCCCCCCCAAAAGCAAATTGCTCGGGCCGCATGGGGACATGCAGCTGGCCTGGAGGGATCCAGGGGAGGTGACATGCCGGAGTATGATCCTGACTAGTTTGATTGGGTGGCTTGACGAGCCGCCGGGGGACGGGGAAAACAACTAGTGCACGTTGCTGTTAAGTGGCGTTGCCGTGTCCAAGTCCCCTTCCCTCCCCCCAAGTCCTCTGCTCATGGCAAGCTGAAAGTTTATTCTGCACATCATTGCACCAATCTGGTAGACCACGTACATACACAATGGGCCATGATCGCTAGGTGCTAGAGAGACATTCCCAAACTTACGCTACCTGCATTGCGTGTGAGTTACCAGGCCAGGATGTTGCAAAATGCGCTACGCGTGTAAATGAAGAAGATTAAAGTGTTTGCTCGTACACGAGAACCAATCCAATATCCCACTTTTCCTCTTCTCGCGCATTCCTATTCCATGAGAAGAGGCACGCCTTGATTCCCAGAGTTGACCATTCAGCCAGCCAGCCAGCCAGTCAGTCAGCTTCCTTACACCATCTTGTTCTTTTCATCTCTTCTCAACATACCCTGGCATCCGTACGTCCCGGAAATTCCCAAAGAGCCACGCCATGGGCCGGAATCCCGTGTCCACAACGCCGCGACCAAAACAAAAAGGAAAGCCCCGTAGTTCCGGTCCTGATTACGTCAAATTTGTCACGAGTGTCCCTTCTCTATCTCTCGGGAAAATCTCAATGTAAGCAGCAGCATTTCTTAGGCCAACGTAAGACATGTATGCCAAACGGGCGTCGCCCACTAAAAGTCATCGCCAAATCTTGTCGAGATGTTGTGCTAAACTATCTTCTATTTTATATGCACGACTGGTACATACTTGTCTGCTTGTTACCCACGGCGCGCGCGGATGTATGTCACGTTTGCACATGTTTTTCTGCTCCTCTTGGCTTAGCTCAGCATCACCACGCGAGCGAGCCTTTCCAGGCTGGTTACCCGTCCGCTTCACTTTTGAGCCAACGGCACACATGGGCTGGAAATCAAGGAAAGAGTAGGTCCAGACTCGGCCGGGTTCGGTAGACCCTGCGAGCCCGTATCAGCTTCCTTGTTTGTTGCGTGTGACATTGTGGCGTGGTTTTGATGATCACGCTCGGGGAGACCAGAAAGACACCGCAAACACCACAATCAAACTTACAAAATCGCATGATAATCTGATTACAAAAGAAAAGAATTCCAAAAAAAGAAAACACTAATCGTAACACAGCAATGTTTACATATCGTACGTGCACGACTTTTGCACTGCTACGTTGCAACATACTGCACAAGTGTTGCAATTCAACGTCTTCTCTCGTCCTTTCCAATTGCAACCCAAAACTTCCATAGAGTCCAAAACTTTGGGCACAAAGGAAGTTGTTCTTTTGCCAAGGTTCTTGGTTTCGATAGAACTTTGCGTGAAGCAAGGACATAGTCTTCCAAGAAATCGTAGTATAGCTTCCCTTCTATAAGTCGGTCGTAAGAAAAGAAACATGTCACACATGACCATACTCTATACGCCCAAACCTTGAAACACTTATAGTGGTCCGGGTTAAGAGTGAGGCCAAGATACAAATGCCATTTACCTACACGTATTCAGGGAATGCGGGGTAGGCTGGATCGGTCCTCATTTACTGTGCTAGTGGTAAACGGCACATGCACATGTGTTTATGCAGGGTGGGAAAAAATGGGCCAGGGGGTACAAAGGGGTCGAAGTTAGTGGATGGGATGGTCCCTGGATCACCATCATCCTTGCATTATGTCCTGCCCTTGCCGCCCTTACAGATGCACACACGAGCCTAGATTCCATGCTTGTGATAGATTGATTGATAAATTGACTGATATCATGCGTATACGCGCCCACGTGATTGCTTCCGCCTTGATAACCAAACCCATTCGTCGTATGTTCTGTCATCGCTTCTAACAAGTACACGATACCTCTCAGGCGCAAGAGAAGTGAAAGGATGAGGAAAATAAAAATGTGACAGCCGGTGTCGTTGCACATCGATTCCTCTCCGGCGTAAAAGAAAACTATCCAATATGTACAGCAAGACTAATTTTGCGCTGCAACACCCAGTCAGTGACAGGAATAAGCACAAGCATTCAAATACATAAGATGATCAGGTGAAATGTATCCCAGTATTCAAATCGCGAATCATAAAGCAGAAGACACGGCGCAAAGGATAAAAACAATAAGAGGTGGGGACAAAAGGAACAGGAGAGAGTCTAAAGCGTCTCAAGTATCACACATATGCGACCACCATGGGGTTGCAAAGGCCGTTTAAAAAAATAGAACTGTGTACTGGGGTATCGTTTGACCAAAGACGAAAATGACACGAAACACAAGAAGAGGCGCAGGAATGAGAAAAAATGGTCCGTCTTCATGAATCCGGCTCGGTTACCTCGTCGATCGCCGGTGGTGGAATGAAGCCCTGCGCAGAAGCTATTTCCGTACGTGCCGCTTTGGGGGCATGAGATTCGCTAATACTGCCATGTTGCGGCGATCGTTTACTGGGTGTGGCCATTGATGTGGAGGGACTGAATGCTTGCTGTCCGGCCTCGGACTTTGTTTGGTGGTGACGCGGTGAAGCGCTCTTCTTGCTCTTGTCGCTTGTGGCTGAGGATGTTCTCGGCGATACTCGTCCTTGCTATAAGAAGACTGACATTAGTACGGGTTCATCTATACAGCAGTGGCACAAGACCCATGGCTTACCTGCTTTGCCCATCGCAATCCACACGAATTGCACAGGTCACGATTCCCAGAAGGTCCTCTCCGCCACTCAGGAGTTTGTCTCGTATGGCAATTTGCACAATCCTTTTGCATCTGTCCAGCACCCTTTCTCCTCTTTCGTTTCTTCTTGGCTGCCAGCAGCGTCTGCACCTCTTCTGCAAGATATCGATTCCGCTTTTCCATTTGACGTAGCTCGTACTGCCAGCTGGTACTTCTTGTCGTCTTGAGCTCATCAAAAACGTTGTCGTCCGAAGCAAGACTTTGATCTTGGTGTCCGATCTGCAGACCGTTGTGGCCGGCAAATGTGGCCGGTGACTCTTCGGTCGTCACATAGAGGGGATTTGTAGTAGTTGTTGATGGGGTATTGTTTCCAGTGTCGCCAGAGTTTCCGTTATTTCCAGCCACAGATCCTGGCATAGGTGAGGCTCCCCCTAACATGTGTGAATCTCGCTCCTGCTTGGTGTTTGTGTACATGGAAGGGCGACCAGCGGTGCTGTTGCGTGAGTACTTGAGGAGTCGTGTTTGTCCGACAACAAAGGTGGGCTTTTGGCCTTCGACAGCATCTCCGGGATAGATTGTGGTGAAAGCCTGAAGTACTTGGCCACGCTTGTTGATCATCTCGTGCTTCACTTCGCCCTTTCTGCCGCCTCTTGCAAATTCGAGTATCCGCCCAAAATTGACCTTGGACTCCTGGCGCATCAGAGACTGAATGCTGGTGCCAACCAGATCTTCTGGTTGCTTGTCCAGGAGCTGTCGTACATTTGACGAGACGTATAGGAACATACCAGACGTCGACATCTTGGTCCACAGCTCATTGTCGCCGACACCACCAGACTCGCGCACAATGGTCTTGCTCAGCGTGTAGACCGGGCGCTCACGTCCGACAAGGATGATGCATTTCCGGCCCTTGCCCTGCTCGGTATGCAATGAACCATGGCCTTCGAACCACATGTAACCACTCTTCTTCCGCCGTATCCTGAAAACGACATTTACAGAGGCGCCGCTTGTCGTCTCTTTCAACTCTCTGGTGACTGGGACAATGTCGCTGGGGTGGCAAACAGAGGATAACGCTGTTCCAACAAGCTCGCTTGGGTCGTATTCTAATATCCGGTTACTGGCAGGCGACAAGTACAAGAAAAGACCCTTGAGCGATAATACATGCACCACGTCGTCGCAGTTTTCGAGGAGAACCTTGTCCCAGATG